CTGACTTTTTAGGATTTTTTTGTATCCAAATATGCGGATAGCAAGAGTCGCCACCGACTTTTATTTTTATCCAATTAAGGGAAGGTAAAAGTAACAGAAAAAGACCTTCGTTAGATTCTGAGTACGGGAGAATGTTATGAAAAGGGAAGGTATTAGCACCCCTTTCCATCCGTAGTTATCTACGGGCTCTTAGTTGCTCTCTAAATCACTTTAAAATTGTGCTTTCTGTGTGTTTGAAAAGATTGTTTGAAAGAGGCATTTCGCTTTGACTTTGTAATGATTCATGTAGGAATGTATACAAAGTGTTCGGAAATGTTTCGTTTTTGAAAGAAGACTTTGTAATGATTCACGTTGGAATGTATACAAAGCGTTTTGAAAAGTTTTGAAAGCGTGAAGTGTGAAAAATGTTTTGATAGAGCAAGCAACTAAAAGTCTTTAAATTACCTACTCAGAATTGGTCGTTTTCATGTTTATTTACGTTCCTTTAGAATAGCGCTAGCCATATCATTAGTTGATAGGTAGCTCCATTCGTTGGATGTAAACGGGACAATCGAAGGGACATCGGATGGTCATAGAAAGCAACTTGTAGGGAGTATCCTAGCACATTCGAAGGGACTATCATCATTTTTCGTAGGCAACAATCGAGGGTCAAGATCATGTATTCGGAGGCGACATCGTGGGTCTATGATCTTTGTATCGAAGGGACTATGATGATTTGTTTGGAAAGCAACGGTGCTAGAATACCTCTACGTTCGAGGGACATGACCATTTGTATTCGTAAAGGCAACAAGAGAGAATTACCCTAAGGGGTGCGTGTGTGAAAGGAGTGTGTCGAATTCAGATATTTTATCTTGGAATTATGAGTGAGCTATGTTCAATTTTATCTTGCCATACACGCCTAATTACTAGCAGTTTATAGGGTGCGGAAAGTAAAATGCGGAATGTAAAGGCAGAAATGTAAAGGTGCGGAAAGTAAACCTACGCTATTACATGGCTTTGGGGCAGATACATAATTAGGAGTGCGGAAAGTAAAAGTCCTAAATTAAAACTATTACAACCCATATGCAATTACATTATTGTAAAATAAAATAGTAAAAGAAAACGTCCGAATCGGAGCAACCTGTAAAGGAATGTGAAAACGGAAAATACGATATGAATTGAATAAGAGGAAAAATGTTAGAAAAATGCAAATTTTTATATGAGAAAATTAATACATGCTGGAAATAATATAAACATGCTAAAATAATTTTTTGGGATTTTTTAGATGCAATTTAGTAATTAAAATGCAATTAAAAGTGAATTAAATGCAAAATTATAAATAAAATTAAATATGCATGCAAAAATATATTTTTTTAATTTATTAAATTAAATAAACATTTTTGTGAAAATAATGTAAAAAGAAAAAATGTTTTTGGTAATTTTTTAATGCAGAATAAAATATGGAAAAGAAATTAAAATAATGCAAAAATATTAAATTATATGAAAATAAGAAAATATGAAAAGTTTTGAGAAAAGAAGTAAAAGGATTGTCTGAACCAGGAATTGAACTGGGGACATTCCTCTCAAACTTTGAAAAACCACATGCTGACCAACTGAGCTAGCGTGTTGCACTGTTTGGAAACGGATTGGTTTGAAAATAACACGCGTCCTCTTTCCCTTTCCTCCCGCTCGCGCCAATTCATCGTCTTCTTCGTTTTGAATTTTCTAGTGTAGGATTTTATTTATGTTAGACATTTGGGCATCATTATGTATAATATGTTAACTCAGAACTTATTGTATTTCAGTACCAATCACACGTATATGTATAAATATCTGCTTTATTGTATGTATTTATATATGGGTGTTACAATATAATATATACATATTTTAATAGTTTTTTATTTGAGCAAACATATTTTAATAATATTTGATTTGCATGTTTTGATGACAAAAATGAGAGAAGTAAAAGATGATTATTAATCTTAAAATGTGAGAAAAATTACAAACTATAACATTTGCATGTTTTGATGACAAACACAAACTATAAAGTAAAGTTACTTAATTACAATCCCTGTTATCTAATTGCCTGGTATCTAATTGGCCTGTCCCAATAGTAAGGTATCAAAGCTTCAACGTTTATCTTTGTTTCATTTTGTTTTCATATTTGTATCAGTATGACAACAAATCAGACATGGGTTTCATTTGTTTTCAAAATTAAAGGATAATTAATTTCCATAGGTGTGTTCAAATATGACAAAGTTGAAGAGGATAAAAGTGCCCCATAGACAAATGTGGAAATTGCCCTCAAATCTGTCTGAAGTAATTTTGGTTAGTTTTTGCACTAATATCTACCAGTGGAAGTTAAGTGTTAAAACTGTCTGAACGAAATTTTGATCAGTTTCTGCACTAACATCCACCAGTGGATTTTGTCTCAGGCTACTGAAAGTTTGAATTTCAAATGCAAGGAAGATGTGTTATTTCACAAGTTTGCAACTCTTGATGAAACAACACCTTTTCAGCATAAGATTGTAATGGTTCACCTATAGTTACATTATGCACCACTTCACGAAGTGTTGTGTATTTTGAATTTGAAATTCAAACTTTCAGTAGCCTGAGACAAAATTCAATGCACTTCTACTGGTGGATTTTAGTGCAGAAACTGATCAAAATTTCGTTCAGACAGTTTTAACACTAAACATCCACTGGTGAATATAAGTGCAAAAACTTACCAAAATTCCCTTCAAACAAATTTGAAGGCAATTTCTATATAGTTAATTTTTATAGTTAATAACTATATAGTTAATTGATAAATTTGAAGGCAAGGCAATTTCTATATAGTTAATTTTTATAGTTAATAACTATATAGTTAATTGATAAAATTTAAAAATATTAAATTAATTAACTATAAATTTATAAAATATTTTTAAATTAATTGATAAAATTAACTATATATAAAGTTAACTATATATTTTTTAACTATATATTAAAAAGTTAACTATATATTTTTTATTTATTATTAAATTAATTAAATCTGTTAAAAAGTTACAATTTGGAGAGTGAAATCCACTTAATTTTTTTTACAAAATTTAGAAATTAATTGATAAAATTAACTATATATAAAGTTAACTATATATTTTTTAACTATATATTAAAAAGTTAACTATATATTTTTTATTTATTATTAAATTAATTAAATCTGTTACTAATATAACGGATATAATCTAATATCTCCTATAATTTAATTATCTCCTATATACTAATATAACGGATATAATTTAATATCTCCTATATAATAATAAAATGGATATAATTTAATATCTCCTATATAATAATATAACAGATATTAGGGGTGGGAATGGATAGAGATCATGTAGATTATTTTGAAAGCCAATTATTTTATATTTAATACATGAAAAGAGTGTCTAATAAAGAAAAGAAAAACATTAAAAATATGAGAGCATTCTTTAAATTATTTATAAACTTAATCATTTATCAAAACAAAAATTTGTGTGAATTTAACTGATCGTGTCCCGTTATAAATTTATTTAATACGATATAGATTTTATTTAAATATACATGTAAATTTGAAATGATTTATTTAATTATAAAATGAATAATAATAATTTAAATTTAATTTGAATATTTGAAAATAAGAATTTTGTGTCTCAAATAAAAATAATTATTAATTAAAATAAAATAGTTATTTTATTGATAGTTCCCCGTGAGAAAAATAGAAAATTTTGACATTTGAAAATAAAACTTTTGTGTCTCAAATAAGTATAATGTTAACTAAATAAAATAGGTATTTTGTTTATAGTGATCCGTAAAAAAAGTAGAAATTTGTGTGAATTTAACTGATCGTGTCCCGTTATAAATTTATTTAATACGATATAGATTTTATTTAAATATATATGTAAATTTGAAATGAGTTATTTAATTATAAAATGAATAATAATAATTTAAATTTAATTTGAATATTTAAAAATAAGAATTTTGTGTGTCAAATAAAAATAATTATTAATTAAAATAAAATGGTTATTTTATTGATAGTTTCCCGTGAGAAAAATAGAAAATTTTGACATTTAAAAATAAAACTTTTGTGTCTCAAATAAGTATAATGTTAACTAAATAAAATAGATATTTTGTTCATAGTGATCCTTGAGAAAAGTAGAAATTTTGACATAGATGACAACTTAATTATATATATATATATATATATATATATATATATATATATATATATATATATATATATATATATCACTATATTATATTTATTTACTATTTATAACGACAATGTGCGACCCGTGCGAATGCACGAGATGACTAAATTATTTTCTTATTTTTCTACTAAAAAATATATTTTTGACAGGTCGAAACTATTAAATTTGTATATCTTTTATATATATTTTTTAACTATCAATATACTATATTTATTTACTATCTAAAACGACATTGCGCTACCCGTGGGAATGTACGGGTAGATGACTACTTAGTTAATTCCTTTATTTTTCTACTAAAATATACATTTCTGACGTGTCGAGACTATTTAATTTATATATATTTTATATATATTTTTTAACTATCGTTATATTATATTTATTTACTATAAATAACAATATTGCGCGACCCGTGCGAACGCACGGGTACGTTACTAGTTATATAATAAAGATTAAAATTAAAACGATGTCGTTTTGAGTATTAAGTTTTTAAAAAAAAATTAAAATGAAAAATGCTTCTTCCAAACGCAGAAGCAGAAGAAGTCCAAACACACCGTTTTCATTTCGTCCCCCTGTTCTCCAATCCAAACGCAGCGTTTTCATTTCGTAGACTGTTTTCCATCGTAGACTGTTTTCTATCGAAGACTGCATCGTAGACTGCATCGTAGACTAAGCTGATAGGAATTTTGATTGATTTGAGGCGTAACCCCCAACTTTGTTATTAATTTGGGTCAGATGGAGAACATAAATTTTTTCCAGTGTTCATCTCTCTTCTTTGGTCATCTATTAGGGCAGAAGGCTATGTCTGTATCAGCTGTTTCAACTACTTCAACTCAGATTTCTACCGCTTATCAGATTTCTACTGGTAAATACTCATACCATGTGTGATTTAGGCATCTCATACTCATTTTATCATGTTTATTTATGTTTATCTCATGTTGTAGAATAAGAGAGGGAAATGACTTCCATCTAATGATTTTCTCAACTTCCAAATATCTAACATGGTGATATTTGAGCCAACATTATAATTTTTTACTTATTAGTTGTATAAGAGGGTATCCATGTATTTGTTCATTTTATAAAACTCATAATTTTTCTTTAAAGTTGATTGACATACTTTACACACACTGAGGCGTGTTTTCACCTTAGTTCTGGGTTTCTGTTTCCTTATTTACACAATTAGGATTCCTTATTTTTCATATTCAACTGCTTCTGTTTCCACAAGTTTTTTTATCATCGGCATGTTGTTAAATTTGAGCACATTCATTTATTCATTCTTTGAATAGAAACAAGATAAATAGCACCACATCGCACATCTAGCGAAAGCTTTAGTATATGTGCTTAGTAAAACCTTCGACTTCTATCAAGGATCACTTCCCAATATCAAGAGGAATCTAAAATGTGGGATGCTGCTAGAAATGAGTTTGGATCAATAGATAGCACTGGATATCTTGAAGTTGCTGACTTGTCTTTGGATGAGCCAGGCTTAGAGGTTCGTTTTCTCTATGTGGAGTGACCATGATATGATTCGTATCATTTTGTTTTGGTGGATTTATGTCCTTTTTTTTTGTTGATTGAAAGTACTAAGTTTAAATAAACATAAATTTTGCTCCGTATTAGCGGTGTCTTCGTGTCCGTGTCCTTCTCCGAGTCTGGGCTTCATAGCATAGAGAACATGCATGCTTTATTAGATAAATTGGCCGCTTTGTTCTTTAAATTTTGTTGCATATTGTTCTTTAATTTTTTGTTCAGTTTTGACTGCAGCTAATAAAAGAAAGTTTGAGTTTGACTCTCATAGTGGCTGTAACAGCAAGAGGCATACTTTGGTAATTTTAGGATTGTTTCTATCGGATTTGTATTTGGCAATTTTGATTCTCGCTGTCTGAAATTTCATTGTACTAATATTATTTATTGTTCAGCTCAAATTTGGTATTTTTAATCCAGCAGTAACTTGGAAAGTTGCTGGTATTTTTAATCCCAGCAGTAACTTTGAAAGTTGCTTTGTTGAGTTGTATTCTTTGGCATTCAAGTTAGTTGGGGTTCAGAATGTTTTCTTCTTTGCAGGCTCGTCCAAATAATATGAATATAAATATAGTAGACGTTAATGAAGTTTTTAGACAACTTAGATTGGCAAGATATGGAGAAGGGTCGTTCGACAAATTTAGAGACTGGAAGGATACAAACTTGTGGAAGGATTTGTTAAGAGTTTTGATTGAACAGCGTCATTTACCTATAAATTTGGGGTCATTATTTTTCGTTGTCTCCGATTATGCCAGAAGTTATGCTATGGACCCACATATGGAATGGCTTACCGATGAATCTTTGAAGAGAGACGTTGCGGCAGTGTTTAAATTGGAGCCCTTGGCTGACCAAAAGGGCTGCCTATCAATTGAGCAGCTCGAAGTAGTAATGCAAAATATGAAAAACACTGGATTGCTGGTCAGTGATGAACAAGTTGGTGAAACCAGTTTCAACTCGGACGGAAGGAGTGGGGGAAAGAATCCTGTCAAGAGATTGAGAGGAAGGTCATCAACATCATCAGGTAACAGCTTGCAATTTTTATAAGTAATTAATTAAAAGATTAACAAACCATTTATAACAAGATTAATATGACTCTTGGCCATGATTTGTCCTGTATTGGTGTTATTGTTGTTATCTATTTATCTTACTTGCTATGGATATTTCCAGGTGAGAGGAGACTCAAATGTTCTGAAAATTTTGAAGAACTAGGTAACATCTTGCAACTTACATTAGTGTACAGGGATGCTTGTCATGCATTATTTTTTATTTCTAAACAACTCAATGTGCTTGGCATGTTGCTAATGATTGTAGTTTTTATTTTTATATAAGTAATTAGACAATCAAATAAATCATTAATTAAAAGCCTTTTTGTACTATAAACAGCATACCTTATATTTTAATCAAAGAAATCACGGTTGATATAATTGTAAATGATTGAGTCTCGTCAAAATAATCACATGCCATCTTCTTAAAAACTTCTACAACCTGAAATCTTCAAAACTTGCACTAAAAAGGGAAAAATAATGACATGTTAGTGAATGTGTCAATATTGAAAAAGAAAAGAAATCCTTTAAGATCAAACTAAAAATCAACACAACATATAGAAATTTAGATTTCAATTCAAAAACAGAAATACAACTAAAATTATGTGATTGAAAAAACGTTGGAAGAGAGATAGATCAAAATCTTGCAAATAAAACGTTGAAAGAGAAAGAGAAGAGCATAAATGAAAATTAACCTTTACTAAGAAATAAATGAAGGAGTGAATTATGCAGAATAGGAACTGGGAGAGCTTAGATCTAGAATCAATCTTTAGGCTTCTTGGGTTGGGTTAATACTAGGTGGTTGGTGGGAGTGTATTTACATTGATAAATGGTTGGTGCTATTTAAAGTGAAGGAATCTCTCTGCGTCTTATCTTTTTCTATTCATTCACGTGCACTTAACTTATCTGTGTTGATACAGTGATATATAGTGGCAGATATATGTTGCGTGATTCTCATTACTACTGTCATTTATTAAAAGTTTCACTATCCATAGTCTCATTATAAAAAACAATTGTATACATTTTTTCAAATATATTCATTACTATTAAAAACAAAAATTAAAATTAATGGAATAAATTATGTAAAATTGATATTTCTTTTAAGAAAAATAAAATATATAAGATTTTATGTTTAAATGTATTCAAATAAAATTGAAGTTACTATTAAACTTAAATGTATAAAATACGTTTGAGTCAAAAAGTTATAAGTCTTAATTTCGAATTAAATTAATTATGAAAATAATATTACTTTTATTTAAAAGATATTAAACACGTCAAAATTAATTTTACATATTTAAAATTATTTTTAAATATCTTAAATATGAAACTAAGTTATTTAATACTAAAATAATTAAATAAGTGATCTGACATAAATTTAAATAGAATATTTTTGCCGTAAAAATAAATAAATATATATATATATATATATATATATATATATATATATATATATATATATATATATATATATATATATATATATATATATATATATATATATATATATATATATATATATATATATATATATATATATATATATATATATATATATATATATATATATATATATATATATATATATATATATATATATATTTTTATTTATTAACATATAATACAGTTTTTATATAATTGTTTTTCATTATAAAACCATTTTATTAACATTCTACATAAAATATAATATTATATTTGTTTTAAAAAAATATATTAACATCAAATATATACTGTTTTTTATAATATTATACTGTTTTTTATATATGCATAAATAAAAGAGTTTTAAAATAATAATATTAAATATACATTTTTTAATTATAAAACATATTATATAATAATAACATTAAACAGTTTTTACTAAATATGTATATATTAAAACAGTTTTTTAAATATATTTTTATTCAATACAAAAAACTATTTTTTTATATATGTTTTTAATCAATATATAAAATATTATATTATATTTGTTTTAAATAAAATATATATTAACATTAAAAGTGTTTTTATAAAATTTATATATTATTCTTTTTTTTAATAATAAATAAATTAAATAAATCAAGATATATAACTTATCATAATATATATTATATTTTTGTTTATTAATAAATATTTATTTATATATATTTTTATTTTTTAAAAAGAAGTACCTATATAATATATATTCTCATTTTTTAAAATTATATTTAATGAAAATTACAATATTATAATTTAACCAAATTCAACCTAAAATCTAACTAAATTCAGAAAATATACCAAATGTAAAAAAAAATTTCAAGAAATACCTCTTCTCTTCTAACTCCTTCAATCTTCTTGTCCAACCTTTTTGCAATCTACTTCTACTATATCAATCTTCTTCTATTAAAAGAAAAATTAAAATAAATTACAATCACATAATACAATAAATAAAAACTTGTAAACAAAATAGAGACAAAATTAAATTAAATTAACCTGAAAAAACAAGGATTAATGGAGATTGAAGTTGAATTTTATGAAAAAGAAGAGGTTTTAAATGGAGATTGAGTTGGATTTTATGAAGAAAAAGAGGGTTAATTAATGGAGATTGGGATGGAATGAGAGAGAGAGAGAGAGAGAGAGAGAGAGAGTGGTGTTTGTTGAAAATATACTACTGTGTTTGGTGTACGTGATTTAATTAAATATATAAACCATTCAGCGACGTGAAAATCACGCTGCAACTTTGCCACGTGACTTTCACGTCGCAACAATGCCAACGGTCATATTCTCTTTCTTCACATGCTTGCAAAAGTTGATCATGTCAGTCTGAATTAATTTGATTTTCCCTCTTAAATGTTGCAGCGTGAATACCACGTCACAATTGACTTTTTCAAAATTTCAAAAATCCACTATGCCAGAAATAATCTACGAAAGCGCTTTTTTGGGCTTTAAAAGCGCTCTCGTAGGTGGCGCTGCTAAAGGTTTTAGCAGCGCTTTTTGTTCATAAAAAAGCGCTCTCGTAGGCCTACCTATGAAAGCGCTTTTTGGTAAAAAGCGCTTTCATAGGTAGGCCTACGAGAGCGCTTTTTTCTGAAAAAGCGCTTTCATAGGTGTATTCAGAATGCGTGTCAGGCAATCTAAAGTAGGCCTATAAGAGCGCTTTTTGTTCAGAAAAAAGCGCTCTCGTAGGCCTACCTATGAAAGCGCTTTTAATCAAAAAGCGCTTTCACAGGTAGGCCTACGAGAGCGCTTTTTTCTTAAAAGCGCTTTCATAGGTTTTCTACTGAAAAATCTAAAATTTAAAAAATTTCTAAACCTGCATTTTTTTGCAGCAAACCTGTAATTCTTAAACCGGTATTTTACAATCTAATCTAGAAATACCAATATATATTAGTTTTAATCCAAATACCAAATGTAATTCAAATACCAAATATTATATATATATATACAAATATCATTATAATCAATTCATATCCAAAATATATATACACCATGGTAATTCAATATTAACATGTTTTTAAACGTAACAAAATACACCCTAAGAAATCAGCTATATAACACTAAGTAAATCAATCCTAATCTACATATATATCCAAGGTCCTGATCCTGCAATATGAACATAATAACACAGTCAGTGTTGTATACACAAAACAATATATTCATAATTAACTAATTTTCACACAACAATGTATTCGTACCTTATTATAAGATTCTTAGCTCAATAAAATATTGGCACAACTCCTCTTTGAGTTCTTCCAATTGACGTGGCGAGTAATATGGACAATTGTATTGATCAAAATACTACATTACAAAACAAAATATATGCATGATTTAGTTTAATGTAATAAATTATATGCAAAATCCGATAAGTAATAAAACAAAGTATAAATTCATACCGTGATTGGAATCTCGATTTCATTCATTTGAATGATTTCTTTGATAAACTTCAAAATGAAGTATCCGTAATCTATGTTGTTTTGTTGTTGAGGGCACTACATAGAAAAACAAATAAGATTATACACATCTATTGATTTATCAAGTAGCATAAATATTATAAGCAAAATTGTTGAAATTTATATACCTGTACTTTGATCCAATTAATGTTGTTTGATTTAGACCGCGGTACTCGTGCTTCCCTTTGACATCGTAATACTTGTATTGAACTGATGACAAAATTAAAATATTTATTTAGAACAATGACATTGAAATAATTAAATATATAAACACAAACGAATATTTAGAATAATGTCACTTACGTATCAATCACTAGCTTTATTTCCGGATAATTTGTCCAATCACCGTCAACCGAATTCAGGTAATAGACCACTTCTTTTATGGGATTGATTGCAAGCAACAACCAGTGACATCTATAAATTAAAGCAACAATTTAGAAGCGAATTTTAATGTAAAAAATACAAATATTAAAAGGAGCTTAGAATGAAAATCTAACCCTGTATTATAAGGCAAAAGATACAAGCTCTCTGTACTGGCAGTTGTCATGAATCTTTCGACCAAGTGTTCTCTTACTGAATCAGGTTCCCTAGAAATTGTTGCTCCACTGACACGGGAGGAAGACACGAAACGGAATCTATTTGACAATTGATTCCCGCGCATCAATTTGTCAAATAACATCCTTAAATAAAAACATAATTAATATTAGACTATTTCAATTAAATGTTTAAAAAAATGTTCAACCAATTAAATAATATATTGATCGGGTTACCGGATGTACGAGTGCATCACACTGATGCCTAACTCTCGATGATGAAAGATTTGTTCCATGTCCTCTAATCCAATTGTTTCGGTACATGGAAAACCAAAGACAATTTCATCCACATCGATTTGACGAATTCCATCATTCATCAAATCTGATGTGCCAACTAGTGTCTCCAGACACTGTCGATACCTAGGCACAAATTTACGGACAGGAACCTTCTTCTTAGGTGGAACCCTACTAACTTTCTGGCTCACCTGCTGTGACTGATCTTGAGAAGGTACCTTAAAAATCATATAGAATTATGTAAGATACAAAATTATGCAGTTTTTTATTCCGATCATAAATGAAACACTTTAAAAGTACCTGTCTTTGCGATGCAATAGACTCGCCGCGCTGCAAAATCCCTTTATCCTTAGATGCGGGTTTTGTAGGAGTCTAAAATTACCATGTATAAAATTCAGGTCAGAACTGTCAGTTGAATACTTAAAGATTCATAATGGTTTTCAACATACCTGATCATCTATGCAGATGAGGTCTGATGGCCATGCCACAAAAGATCCTACTGCATCTCGCAGCAATGTGGTCTCCGCAACAATGTCAGGTACCGGTAGCAATGCAT